TCTCTCTCTCTCTCTCTCTCTCTCTCTCTCTCTCTCTCTCTCTCTCTCTCTCTCATTCCTCCCCCCATTCACAGCTCTAGGACCCGTGAGGAGGAAACTTCTGTTCTCTGTACTTACCCGGTCTCAAGGATTCTGCATTAAGAGAATTTTTTTGAAAACGCTGTGAGTAGAGGAAACCCATTGGCTTACTTTTATTTTTGCATCCTATGTGTGCCTGAGAGTGCATGCACGTATGTAAGTATATTGTATGTACGCCTGGTGCCCAGGAGGCCAGAAGACAATGTCAGATCACCTAGAACTGCAGTTACAGGCAGTGGTGATCCACCACGTGGGTCCTGGGAACGGAACGGTGTCCTCTACAAGAGCAGTAAGTGCTCTTAACTGTTGAACCATCTCTCCAGCCTCCATTCACAGACATTTATCCACCTCGGCATGAGAACTTTTCTGGAACGCATGAAAAACTGAAACTCCATCATTATTTTTATCCACACAGTCAGGATCTGCTGCCTCAAGACCCAAAGACTCCCCAAGTCTTCTGGAAGCCAAGACATGGCTCAAAGCCACTTCTCAGCAGAGCCAGCGCCAAGCTCCGGCCCTGGGTTCAGGAGCACATGCGGGGGTGTGTGGAGGGGTGTGGCATGGCGGACACTGGGGTCGGGGCGCACACTGGGGTCGGGGCACACACACTTGGGGCAGGGCACACACACACTGGGATCAGGGCACACACACTGGGGTCGGGGCACACACTGGGGTCGGGGCACACACACTGGGGGCGGGGCACACACACTGGGGGTGGGGCACACACACTGGGGTCGGGGCACACACTGGGGTCGGGGCACACACACTGGGGTCAGGGGATACACACTAGTGTCAGGGCACACACACTGGGGTCGGGGCACACACACTAGTGTCAGGGCACACACACTGGGGTCGGGGCACACACTGGGGTTGGGGCACACACTGGGGTCGGGGCACACACAGGGCGGGGCACCCTGGGGTCGGGGCACACTGCTCTGACAAGGTCTGCCATCTCACTGACGTAGGAAGTGATGGCTTTGGCTCGCTCACCCCTCCTTATTTTGTCCTTTCATGTGGCGTTGGTACAGCATGCTGCTCTAGGGCTGGCTCCGCTGTGCACTGGCCAGCCACGGCCCTGGACCGTCCACCAAGCAAACTCCATGCTTCTCTCTGGACTCCAAGGGCCTTTGTTGAGAGGCTGGTGTAACTAACGGCAATCTCCACCAGGCAGGGAAAGAGAACTGATGACAGACCACACACTCATTTCCATCCTGGACCAGGGAACTCCTCACTGGCCACTTGCCGCCAGCTCCCTGACCGCTCTAGCCCTAGCAACTCCTCAACTCCTGCTCCTTTCCAGAGCTTGAGTTAGTTTTCAAAGTGACTACAGCTACCTCAAGAATTCTAAACACAGCCTGGAGAGGTGGCTCAGTGGTTAGAAACACATATTGCTGTTAGGGACGACAAATATCAGGCAGCTGCTGTGGAACAGTCTTTGTACACTGTAAATACGTATGGCACTCATTGTTAACAAAAAACTGATTGGCCAATGGCTAGGCAGGATTTTCAGGGCGGAGAGAATGCTGGGAAGAAGGAGTGTGGAGTCAGAAGAGTTGCCAGCCAGACGCAGAGAGGAAACAGAAGGTACAAGATGAAAGAAAGGTAACGGCACGTGGCAGAATGCAGATGAATAGAAATGGGCTGACTGAAGTTGTAAGAGCTAGTTAGTAATAAGCCTGAGGGGCTGGAGAGATGGCTCAGCGGTTAAGAGCACTGACTGCACTGACTGCTCCTCCAGAGGTCCTGAGTTCAGTTCCCAGCAACCACACGGTGGCTCACAACCGTCTGTAACGAGATCTGGTGCCCTCTTCTGGTCATACATGCTGTATACAAAATAAAATATCTTTTTAAAAAATAAGCCTGAGATATCGACTGATCATTTATAGTTCATATTAAGCCTCTGTGTGGTTATTTGGAAGTGGCTACTTAACACAGAGGAAGTCTGTCTATGGGCAGCTCACAGCCACCTGTTACTCCCACCTCAGAAGACCACACAGGGACACCCAAACAAGCATGGCATATACTAATACATACATACATACATACACACACACACACATACACACACACACACACACACACACACACATCACTGAAAAATAAAATATTTTTGTATTTGTTTGTTCGTTTAAAGAATCTCAAGTACTGTGTCCCTGTGAATCCTCAGCTCCACTGTCCTTCTGGGATGGTTTGTTCCCACGTGAGGCTAATTTTTGAGCTGTTTTAAGGAATTGGTAAAATAATGTCTTTAATAATTAGCTTTTAATTTTTATGCATGGGTATTTATGTAGGAGTGAGCGTGGGCAGAGGCCAGAAAGGATCCTGAGAGCAAGAAAAAAAGAGACTTTGCGGGGAGGGGCGAGGACGAGAACATGTGAAAGTGGAAGGGGGGGATACCAGAGGGACGAGAACACAGGTCAGGACAGGGAGATAGGGGAGTGTGTGTGAGTGTGCGAGTGCAGGGAGAAAGTGTGTGTGTGCATGCGGAAAGCAGGTGTGTGTGGGGGGGGAGCAGCATCAGTCAACACTGAGTATGCATGAAAATGCCCATATGAAATTTGTTACTTTGAATGTTAATTTTAGAACTTAAAAAAAAATAAAAAGGAATTTTAAAGCCGAGCACTGAACAGTGTGTGTGGACTGCTGGGCGTGGTGCTGGCCACAAGATGTGCCATGAAAGACCCAAAGTACACATGATCTTCCTCTCACAGACCGCCGTGAGCGGCATCCTCATCCACACAGCACTGGACCCCCCTTTCTCTAAGACCCTCCGGTGTTCACCTTCCAGGTTCTGCTGTTGGGAGGACCACACAACCAGCTCCATCCTCCCCAGAGCCCCTGAGTTGTACATGACCTTCTGGGACAAAGCTCATGCCCTCCTTCCCCGGCTGCCTTCGCAGCCTCCTAAAACTGAGTTGGCAGGGCCTGCTGGGTTACCACAAGAGAACAGCTGCCCCAAAACATGACAAAGAACTAGCCAAGCTCAGGGACGGAGGAGAATGCACATTGCCCCGCCACACAGCCGAAGTTCTGCCGCTGCCTGTTCCTGTGGCATGACCACCAGAGCTAAGGATCACAGACACCAGGGGCAGGTTCTCGCTACAGTGTGAATACTGTCCTTACCAGCTCCCGTTGAGCATCCTCTTCCATTTGACTGTTCCTGTATAAGCCCTTCAAGGAGGCAATTAAAATGAGACCATTGTGGCAGAGCCCTCACCCACAGGAAGGGTGTCATTGTGAGAAGAAGAGGTCAAGGGGGAGGGAACAAGAGCCAACACGAGGAAACCCACCTGAGTCAGGAGCAAAGTTCTAGGAGAAACCACTGCCCACAGCTAAATCTTGGACTTCCGCCTGAGAACTGGGGAAACACATCCCATGGTCAGCTTGTGGTATTCCCCTCCCACACACACACACAGCACAAGCTAACAGTGTCTGAAAGTCTGGTAGCTCTAGACATCAGTCAAACCCCAGGCAAGAAAAACGTAGTTAACCAAAAAACAAGCCCATCTCGCGTCCAGAAGGCTGTGAAATCAAGGGTACGACCAGCGTCAGTGGGAAGCTCCCACAGTCCTGACACTGGGCACCCACTGCTGGGGTCACAGCCTGGATCTCTGACTCAGCTCCCTGCCAAGGTGTGTCGGGCAAACCCTTCGTCCCAGGGAAGATGCTGGCTCCCGTGGGAATGTCTATAAAGACGACAAGGACAGCAGCTGCACACAGAGCTATTTTTCTTTGGAAGAAGACTAAAGAGCCGTGACTAATACTTTCTAGGGTGTCTTGTCTCTTTAACCCTCTCTTGTTTATTATTTGTGCTAATTCCTCTCCACGCCTCCACTTCCATGCAGCAGGGAAGGACAGAGGTGGCACGCTTGCTTGGCTTACAGGCCTTCCAGCAAAGTAGAGAGCTGGTCTCCTCAGCTGAAGACCTGGGAGAGAAACTGAGGCAGGAAGGAGGGTGCTGAGGACAGAAGTGAGCTGTCTCTACTTCCGGACAAGTAGCAGAACAAGGTGGATTCTGGTGGGTCGGGTGATAAAGGGCCGAGGGAAGGGCTATGGGCCTGATGCCTGTGGGAAAGTACCTGAGAAGCAGAACCCGCAGAGAACAGTTTCAGAAAAGATTACATAAGTTCAAACCCTGTAGCATTTGGTAATCATCTCTCAGAGGAGATTTAGTAAGACCCAACACCAGGGAACACAGAACCTCTCAAGGAATCTGACATCCTGAAAAACCTCACAAAGACTCAGAAAAATATTGAGACACCAATGGTAGTCTTTGAGCAGGCTCGGGGACAACATCTGCTGGTGAAGAAGTCATTGAAATAACAAGGAAATAATGATCTATCAAGTCAGGCCGAGTGGCGACAGCAGATGGCCCCGGGGCCAGGGAGCCCCATGCAGCAGCTTCCTGGAGTGATTGCTGGGAAAGCCAGGCAGGGGCTGGAGCTGTTCTCAGGGACACCGAGAGGGACGGAGATTGACAAAAGAAAGAGCAGTCCCTGACCCGTGCCTGAAAGGGACCAGAAGAGGCAGAGGTGGTAAAAGATGGTGGTGGAGGGGAAATGCTGTCCTCCAGGATTCCTGTTGCCAAGCCCAGTAGGAGGCAGACGACAGGACAGCTTGGGGATTGGGGCTAGAGAACTACACCTCTTGGGACAGAACAGGCTGAGGACAGAGGACAGATGGCATGGAGAACTCTTTAGTCACAATGACTGGGAGCACCATGTCAGATATGGCCACAAGACTGGACTGTTTCTTCCAGAAACCCCATACAATACTCTGGAAATCATGACCTGGTTCTATTCCCACTGCCTTGACCTGGGGCCAGTTTCCCCCAGGACCTTGAGGAGGCTGGTAGCCACGAGTACCCCATGGAACAGTAGTGAAAAGAAACTGTCGGACCAGGGAC